ACTAAAATGCTGTACAAATCAGATTTATTATTTAATAAAGAAAAAAAATTCAAGTAAAAAAAAAAAAAATTACAAAAGAAAATTCACATTTTTTTCCTTTATTTTTCAATACCGCGATAAATATCGTACCGTGGACTGTTATCGCGATATTATCGTACCGTGAGTTTTTGGTATCGTTACATCCCTAGGTAAAAACATTATCTGATTAAAAAGTGGGGTTACTTTTGTTTGAGTTGTTTTGTCTGTGCTGCAATTCAAATGTACTCCGTGTTATTACCATATGCAAATCTCCAGCCCACACTGATCTGTTATCTCACATTGTCTCATCTTGTTTGCATTTATTTTGGTATGGCAGTCCTATAAAAAGCCTGTTTACATCTGACTCAGCAATTCCCCTTTGTGTATCCATTAACCCTGACAGTTTGGCTCAGCCTTAATTAAATCCTTTCTTTTAAAAAAACACCACGGCCATAGAATTGAATAACGCTGCGATACATGATCGTGTGTTTTGCACTGACCAGCAGCTTGAGGAGCCAGAAGCGAGACTTGTAGTATCCGGTCTTGAAGGGGTTGATGAGGAAGAGCAGCATGAAGCCGTAGAGGATGAGCGGGTTGATCTGCATGGGGAGGTAAGTGTAGTCCGAGTAGAGGCAGGAGAGGATGCTGAGGCACCACAACACTCCCAGGAAACCCGCAATCTGCACAGAAACAAGAGAGAGAGGCATTAGGAGACAGCTGTTTTTGATTGAAGACACATAGAAAATACATTCGACACATCGAGGTTAGATTGAACAGCTCAAAGGTAGTGTTCAGCTTAGTCTCTACTGTTGTACATCAAATTACAACAATACAATATTTAAACCACATTTACAACCAAAACAGACCATGTAGCCAAAATGTAAGAGAGTGTTGTACAGACTACAAACGGGACAAAACTAAAATAAATAATACATAAATAAATACAAAAGAATAATAATAAAACAATAGAAAGACAAAAAATAAATGTGAGGGAATATTTCTGTCTTTACTCCTAGACATTTAACCTTATTCTGTGTGTTGACATTTACGACCATCCCTGCTTCTAATCTCCCGTAAGGAATGTGTTAATGCAGTCGTATGTTGATACTAGGTTTTATGGCCTGACCTGCCGGACACAAGGGGGTTTTACGAGTGTGAGAACGCTGGCTTTCTAAGCTCCACAGATGTGAGAGACATCTCCTGTGTCTGCAGATGTTTACGCCCATCCCCAGTATGTGGATTTGACGTCTCTGTAAACTAGTTAAAAGGTCTACCAAGATGCGAGGCTGATCAGATTTGACATGGCAACCCACCTGTGCAGTCAGAACCTTTGACTGTGTGACTTGTGATGTGAATTTCTCCGGCCGATGCTTGTATTAAATATTATTGTTTGACATCAGAACTCCTGCTCGTCCCGTGTCTCCTTCATGAGTCGGTGACTCCCACTGCATTGCTACACAGAAGTTTCCTCCACAATAAATAATAATAATAATACATGACACTTATATAGCGCTTTTCTAAAGACTCAAAGACGCTTATCATCACAATTAACAAGGCAATCTGAATAATGATATGCATGTTGTGATTTGTTATTCCAGAGTATAAATCAAACCCTGTGGACATTAGGTATGTTCAGCGAATGGAATCAAATCTGCATATTTCAGAAAATGCATGATCACTCATTTTTAACTGAAAAACAAAGTGGTTTCTTTTCACTACAGAGTGCAAATCAGATGCTTCACAACGGACCTTTTTTTTTTGTTTAAACGAATAGAGGACTAGCTCTTCTCACAAGCCCCTCCCCCTTTACATAAACCATTTTCAATTCAAATATAATAGACAAAAAGAAACAAATTCATCTCGTCGATACGGAAAGTGAGAAAATGTATCTTTGTGATTCAATCTTTTACTTTATTTCAGAGTAAAAAACGTTCCAGTCCTGACCTCGAACAGGTGCTGGTGGGAAAGGTTGTTTCGGGGGTTGATCTCGAAGATGAGCACGTGGTTGACTCCGGCCTGCCGCCATCCGTAAGTGTTGATGCCCAACAGGAAGAGGAACTGGATCAACAGGAAGCCGCCGCGGTAGATACGCACCAGAGGCCAAATGTTCTCAAAGCGTACGAACACAGCACCTGAAAAAACACAAAGGAAGCTTTCATTTGATATATCTCAAACCCTGAGAAGAGTCAGCATTTCATCACTTCCTGTTCTATCCTGAAATAAGGACTGTGGTTAACACAAGCTGAAGAGATTTTAATTCTACAACTTGAAATACGTCAGTAAATACCCCACTGGTGAATTAAAAAACGTTGGTTGCTAAAATAGTGTCTGAATGAGACGACTAAACAAAGTCATGCCAAACATTAGCCACCTTTAGCTTAGCGGTGGTGACGTGAAGTCATGTGACCGTGCTGTAGTTCCTTTATAGCCCAACATTAGCCACCTTTAGCTTAGCGGTGGTGACGTGAAGTCATGTGACCGTGCTGTAGTTCCTTTATAGCCTAACGTTAGCTTTTTACTTCAGAAATCATAAAGTGGTGTTAATATGTGGAGAGTATCCTGCTGAACGTGTAAGTATCATAAATGTTTGTTTGCCACGGATATTATTTTCTGCAATAATCCAAAATCACATGGAGAAATCCCATTGTCTCTTTATAGAGTGATGCTGCCTTCAGGGTCGGCCTAAACATATACGTCACAGCACCACAGGATTTCCTGCTTTAAAAAAATCTAACATTTTATAAGTTAATGAATGTCAACGAGATTTTTGCTCACCAGAGAGAATGAAGGCGATGGCGAGGATGATGAAGAAGCCGCAGTACAGTCCAACACGAAAGGTGGTCCAGGCCAGAGCGGGCTGCAGCAGGAAGAGAGGAAACACAGACATTAATAATGGAAAAGACATCAAATAATAACACCTAATGTATTGTATTTTACATATTAACACATTATTATGCAACTACAACTCTTGACTCAAACATACATCCATATAGAGCTCCTTTTATCTGCTTGATTATATGTATATTATACACACGCCTGCAGGGTGGACGTAGAGATCAATAGTCACAAAGCACATATATTTCAGAGCTGACAGTAATTAATGCATTAATAACAGTAGATATTACATATGGAGGTAAAGTGCCACTAGCTTCTGAAAGATATCCTGTTCAACATTAAGAAGGCACTTATAAAATCAATGAAAGCCTCTTATGGTTTCTCCTTCTTTCCATCTCCATCCCTCTCAAAACAAACCTCTCACCTTCTGTTTTCAACCTTTACTCACCAGCAGCGTCTTAAAAACAGCGATACAGGGAGACTCAGATTGCAACGTTAGGATATTCAGAGACATGGAGAGCATACCGAGGTCTTTTATAACTATCCAGTAACAGATGGAGAGTAATAATGTCATGATGAGAGTGGTCTATTGCTTCAGTTACCTAATCGATGAGAGTAACACACTTTTGGGGGAAAACATTCGCTGTCATTTGAATGGCGCTAAATAAAGATTCTGAAGTGATCTGAAGGGATAGTGGTGGTCTAACTCTAATGGATAGTGAGGTGAGGTGAAGATCGGAAGGTTGTGAGTTCAAGTCCCGCCAGGAACACCACCACTAGAGTCCCCTTGAGTAAGGCACTTAGCCCTTAGTCACTCCAGGGAGCATGTCCCTGTAATTGGTAATTGTAAATCGCTTTGAATAAAAGCGTCAGCTAAATTAAATGTAATGAAGTTTTCAATCAAACCGCGCTTTTTTTAAACTACACTGAACAAAAACATAAACGCAACACTTTTGTTTTTGCTCCCATTTTTCATGAGATGAACTCAAAGATCTAAAACATTTTCTATATACACAAAATAACTATTTCTCTCAAATATTGTTCACAAATCTGAAAAAATCTGTGATAGTGAGCACTTCTCCTTTGCCGAGATAATCCATCCCACCTCACAGGTGTGGCATATCAAGATGCTGATTAGACAGCATGATTATTGCACAGTTGTGCCTTAGGCTGGCCACAATAAAAGGCCACTCTGAAACGTGCAGTTTTGCTTTATTGGGGGGGTCTGGGGGGGTCCGAAAACCAGTCAGTATCTGGTGTGAGGGTTAGGGTTAGGGTTAGGGTAATGTTGTGAATCGAGTGGCCCGTGGTGGTGGTGGGGTTATGGTATGGGCAGGCGTATGTTATGGACGATGAACACAGGCCACTCGATTCACAACATTATCAAACCGCGCTTTTTTTAAACTACAAGAAGCCCAATGATGATGGTCAGACAGACAAACTATTCGAAAATGTCCCCGGAGATCAATGATCTGCGTCGATTCTTTGTTTAATTTAAATAAATAGGGAAATGATGACGAGTGG